TATGTATGTGTATACATATATATATGTACATATATATATATATATATAAAAAATAGAATATCTATTTCTGTTTCTCTGTAAACTCCTAAACCCTTTGATCGATCTGGCTAAGGCTTCCTTAAGATCTCAAGAAAATGTATATTTTCTTATTTGAAAGATATTTGTATTGACATAAGTAAATATGTTATTAATACCTGCCGTTTATATATATATATATATATATATATATATATATATATATATATGCTATTTCTTAGATATTTTTTCTCTGAGTGTAGAGTGAGACAAATACACAACCAGCATTGAAAGGAAAAGGAACCAAGTTCCAGTGGTTAGTTCAGTTAAAAATAACAGGACTCTAAATAGTCGCAGTGTGTCAAAGAAATGCCCGCTTATTTGCGTTTCTACCTCGTGAATTTACGACTTTACGCAAATGCGTAAGAACTTACTCGCTTGCATGCAAATCGCGCCGTGTATCTCTGTCTCTATTTATCTATTTCTCTCTCTCTCTCTCTGTCCTTTTTTTTCTTACTGTTGGGACGGAATATCCAATCAAGATTATCACAAGTCGCTTACGCAAGTATTGAAACCAGCACGAGTTCCGGGAGCATGGACTTCGAATGGTAGCGGAGGTGACTTGGCAACTCGAAAATTTCCCGTGTCTTTGAACTCTCTCTGTTCTCGCTAAGCGAGGGATTAAATTTCAATTGAACTTTGAATTGAATTCCAACGCTAGTGGATACGACGCAGAGCGTCGGAGAGGAAGCCGAGGGATAGAGAACGAAAGAGGCTCGCGATTCGCTAAATTATAGACAACGAAGATTAGACCAAATTCGAATGTATATTCGTATGTTATTATTTATCCCGTATTTGTCCTGTGAGATGCAGTAAACACCGATAAGGACAGATGGAACAAAGACCTGTTATTGCATACCCGAAAAAAACAATCTCATTCTTCATGGAATCATCTTATATACGTGGCTTTAAGAAGATTCCACTGAAACCCCAAATGGAAAATATTCTAACCGCCCAAACAAGAACTCCAATTGCTATTTCCTATGTTTTAAACGAAAGCTTTGACCGAGAGAGTCTCTTCTACTTCTCTTCTAATGAGAGAAAAGAAGTAACACTCAGTGCTCAGAGTATTTCCCGTTTGTTTAAGGTCCTCTTGAGGCCACAATCACAAGAATCTCACTAAAGACGAGATTATGAGTCTGTTCTTTTCAGCTGCACTGCTGAACTGCAAGAAGTTAAAGATGAGAAAAGATATACTTGTCTCATTTTAACTCATTGCATCAGTTCAGCAGTGTAGCTGAAAAGAACAGACCATATATCTTTCGGGTGCATTCACGTCCAACATGAACCTTACAAATCACGGACCTCCTCCTTTGTCTGAAAAGGTCTCAGATCGCAGGCGAAATTCCATCCGGGACTATATAATGACTATTTGTACAGATTACTGCTATTTGGAACAGATTTCGTTATCACAAACTAGTCAGGAAGCGAGAGAAGGGAAAGCACAAGCGAAACAAGAGTGTGTATGTGTGTGTGTGTGTGCGCGCGAGAGAGAGAGAGAGAAAGAGAAAGAGAGAGAACTAGCGGCCCTACAATGCTCGAATCTCTAGAACGCACACGCATTGTTGTTGCGGTGCGGTGTATCCATCCGGTGCATTCCATCGCAGGTGTATTTTCGTGCCGCGTGGGGTGTCCGACGCGAGTAAAAGTCAGAGTGCGCTCCGCTCCGCGCTCCCTTCCTCCTTCTCTCGACAAAGAGTACGAGACGCCGTCGCCGTCTTCATCGATACGGACGACGACTACGACGACGACGGCTACAACTACGACTACGATCAATCCGAAGAACACCGCTTTTAGACCCGAACTTTAGTCCCCGCGACGATTGAACAAGTAGACGACGTTTCGACTCACCGGACGGCAACCATCGGAAACGTCCGACGAGCGGCTCGCGCTGCTTCTGTGCACCACCTCCTCTTATTCTTCTTCTTCTTCTTCTTCCTTCTCCTCGTCCGCGGCAGAAGGAAGGGGCACTCCGGTCGCTCGCCGAGAGAATCCGCGCGCTTTGTCGTCCACCGCAGCGCTCTCCTTCTCTCTCTCTCTCTCTCTCTCTCTCTGTGTCTCGCGCGCGCGCGCCTTCACTCGTGCTCGCTCTCTCTCTCTCCCTCTCTCTGTCGCGCTCGCTCCGCCGCGGTCCCTCTTTCTTCTCTCTTCCCTCCCTCTATCTTTCTCGTTCTCGACTTTCACCTGTCACCTGTGCACGCACGCGGCCGACCCGCACCGGCCTTCTTTGTCCAGCGCTCTTCTCTCGCGAAACGGACTCTCGAGACGACAAACCGCACAGCTACCGTCCGTCGGAGCCACTGATCAGCTGTGCACTGCGTACCGACCACCGCGCTGCTCGGCACCAGGTCGGTCGACCGCTGCCGCGAGATCCCGCGCACGACACCCTCCTCCCCGACGAGCGCGCGCCGATTTTCTCAGAGCAGCGCGCTCGAGAATGTCGCGACGGTCGGCCGAAACACGGAAACTGGCGTGATCGCGTAATCAAGATGGCCGCCGCGCCGACAAGTGCCATCCTATTTATGAATGGAAGACGCGTCATAATAGTTCGCCGCAGTCACGCGGCGGAGGGGCGGCGCGGGCTATTTTAAAGCGCGTACGAGACTCCGACATGTCGTACGCGAGTCCTCCGGATCTTCGCGCAAAAATACCGCGCTGTGACCGCGGCAGGGAAACTGGAGTGACGAAGTGGCGAAAGTGACGGAGAGCGCCGGTCAAAACCGAGGAAAAACTCGCGGATAATCTGAAAGTTGCATCGTTCCGAGATGAGATGGTTTCTTGCCATTTCTGATCTCGCGAATGCCACGACTTCGCGCGCAGAACTTACCTCATCTTCGCGTACCCGTCGTACAGATGCGATTTTTTTTTAATATATTTAAAATTACTACATATATTGAATAAACGTAGCATCCTTTGATCGTCATTGAGTCCTGGCTACTTGCTGTGGGTATTTGATTTATGACGCCAGGTGTGGCGAGAAATGCATGCTTGGAATTCTTACAATGTCAAAATGAAAAGATATAACCAAAAAATAACATTTGCAACCGATTAATCATACCCCTAAAATATTTCGAACATTTCTCTTTCTCTCTAACAATCTATAAATTCAAGATTAACGTGAGAAAATAATGAAGAAAAATATTGCTTAAATTAATTAAGCTTCAAAATATTGCATGTCACATAAATTTTATGGTTATTTACTGTAAAGCTAAAAGAAAGTATTTGAAGTAATTTAGAGATTTTCTGAATCGATTGTAAGAGTCATTTCTTGGAATATATCTTCGTATTTAGATGTACCTTTGAAGAAATTCTGGGAATGAATTTCTTCGCTTTTGACGTCATCGACTAAAAGTAGAGTTCCGTGAGTAGGCAGGAGCCTTATCGATCATTAGGATTACGTAGTACAGAGAGACAAAAGGACTTGTTGTTCGCATTGGATATTTTCGCTGTAATAAATAACGGGGTGTAACGGATTACTGTAAACACTGGTATATTGACATTTCTACGGATATATAAACCAAAATAATAATATATAATAGTAATAATAATTATAATAGAATTACTAATACGGAATAACGAGTAGACACAGTTGCTCGTTTTTCGTTTTCTGCTTTTAGAGCGCAGTGAATTGTGTATTAGTGTAAATAAGCGGAGTCGAGATGCTGCTCTCTCTTTTTTTTTAAATGCTTTCAACTCGTCCGACTCGAGAGAGAGAGAGAGAGAGAGAGAGAGAGAGAGAGAGAGAGAGAAAGAAATGTTGCCGAACATTGATCACTCGCGATGATGCCTGTCTTCCGTTTCACCTCATTTATAACTCAATAGACAAACGTGCTAACAATGAAACGGGAATAACAAGATGTCTCGTACTACGTTGCGGAATCCAGAAGAAACGTACGCACTCTGGATCGCGTGTTTGACGAAGGACGCTTCTCCTTCTACGTATATCGGAAATGATGCACCAGCCGCACGATAACGCGTAAAACCTTAAAGTTGTATTAAAGGAAAAACCTGTTTTTTTGCAATTCCATACCTTTAAATTCATTAATGCAAGTGAGTCAGTCATGCTTAAGTATCTTGATTCTTACGATATAACTCTTGTGATACGAAGGAGTGGTGACGATGGAAAAGAAGAAGTCTAAAGTGCAAGAAAACCGTTTTTATGCTCGCAACTTGGAAACAGTAACGCAACGTCTCACAATTCGTACTCCAATTTGGTTTACCTACGTTTTATCCTACATGATAATAGTACGTCTCGCGAAATAGTACTTCTATGCGAAAGAATCATTTTTACAAGATCCCAAAATTATATAAGCAATGGCACCAATTCAGTTGTTCCGTTCGACGCATACGTTTCTTTTGCATTCACCGTTTGTCGGTTTCCGCGGCTCATATCGCCGGAATGGCGGAAACCATCGCTTCTTCCGTGAATAAACTCATTCGTTAAATCAACAGTAGCAAATTAAAATCTTACTAATACTACTCAGGTCAAAAACTACGTACACCTGTCGGTACGTAATGGGAAAAAGTATAGCAACGAAGTGGGAGAAGAAAAGAAGGAGATAATCTAAGAATTTCGTTTGTAAGATTTTTCGAAAAGCCTTAAATGCACTTGTACACGTTTTCGCGTCGTTTGCGGTAAAAAAGCGTTCACATCTGACTCGAATCCTCGCAGAAATAGAAGACAAGGAGAGAGAAAGAGAGAGAAGAAGAAAGAGAAGAGGGCTCGATGACAGACAATCTAACAATGATTAGTAGAAAATATGAACCGATCAGGAACGCGACGACGACCGCGAGCTTGGCAGCTGGGAAAGACAGAAGTCCCAACGGACTCGATCGATCGTTTTCATTGCTGGTATTTATCGCTGATATTAAATTACAAAAAGGCGTGCCGTTGAAACTCCGCTCCTGAAGCGTCGATTCGTCGTCGTCTCGCTAGGCCGGCCGATCTCGATGTCTAATCGAAGTCACACGATCGCAGACTCGACTTCGAGGGAAAGTCCGCACGCGCGCGCGCGCGCGTGCGGTGTGTCTAGTCGTCGTTCACCTCGATTGGGATACTCGTGGTGAAGGTCGGCGTCTCCAGCTCCTCGTGCTTCTTCATCTTCATACTCTGCAAAACGGAGAGCTTGTTATAATCATATACACGTCGGAAGACATACAAAAATTGCCGGTTTACCGCGACCGACACAAAGAGAGAGACAGGCAGATAGTTGCAGGCGTAAGTTAGACGTCGAGAAACGCGGCAATTATTCAATTCAGTCATGTCGACCGGCAATTATAAGGAAGCGCGCGAGGGGACGCGAGCGCGTCTCACCTGTTGCAGTTTATAGTGGTTAATAATATCCTGATCAGCTGGGCAGCTCTGCAGGAAAGCGTCGAGCCTGTACATGTGGTGCATGTACCGCCAGAGGTGTACCAGGGTCTCCGGTATCTCGAAGTCCGCGAAGTACTTGCCGGCGACCCTGATATGCTGTAGCCGCGGCATCAGCTCGCAATCGAAGCAACACATGGTGTCGCCGGTGAGGAAGCGCGTGCCCTTGCGGCCCAGATGCTCGTCGATCTTGCGCAGATGCGCCATCAATGACGACGACTTAGGATCCCTGTCCTTTTCCTTCGCGTTCAGCAGCAACAGCTTGAGTTTCTGGAAGGAAACGAGCAACGCGGTCACAGCATGTAGTTTCTCATCTAGTTAGGGAAGGAGAGGGAACGGGAAGAAGAGAGAAAATGAGAGAGAAAGAGAGAGAGAGAGGAAGGGAGAGAGACATAGCTCAGCTTGGCGACACTTGGGCCGCTCGATTAGTTTCACTTTCAACCGGATTAAAAAGAAGAAGAAAAGTCGACACTCACGCTGAACAAGTTCTCCACGAGAGTGGCCACTTCCTTATCCTGTACAAACAGATTGTGCCCGCCGGGGATGTTCTTCATGATGTGCCGCTCGATCTTTTCGTTCTCCAGTATCGCGTCGCCGTTGTCGATCAGGATCGGCGGCGGCGTGGCTTGGAAGTTGGTGCGAAAGTCGGGCGGCGGCTTCTGCATGTCCACTGTGGTTACTTTCAGCGAGATCGTCTTCAGCTCCGCCAAGAGATACAGGTCCATGAAGTACTCCTGGCAGAACAGGCAGGCGCCTTTGCGACGTCCATCGATCGTCGATGCCTGGAAAACAAGATTTTCTCTGTTAAGCCCGTGTCACATTACGGATTGCGAAGATTGGAACTTGACCAATTGGAGCCAAGTAGGTCAAGATCAAAGTGCATTGATTCGTCAAAATCTAATCTTCAATCCGCAATCTTCCATTTCCAATCCGTAGTGTAATTCTGTGTAACCAATGCGATGTAAACTTTGCAGAAAAATGTCAGTGTTCTGTCGATAAAGTTTTCAGCTTCAGCATCCCCTTAAAGGCCCTCGAATTGTCTCTCTTTTTAATGACGTTAGAAGAAAATGCATGTTAAAAATTCTTGCGAAATACATTAAAATAAAAAAAATATATGTATATAATATATATATATAAAATAAAAAAAAATATAATATATACATATTTCATGGAACATTCTGGTAACTTTTTAAAATGAAATATTGTCAAAAACACTCTAAATAGCACATTTATAAGGTTTCAACTGTCCGATCCTAAGTGGTCCCTATTGGTACCAGTAATATTTAAAGGGTTAAAGCAAAAAAGAAATGCAACATGGGCTTTGTTAAACGCGCGTCTCCGGATTAAAGGGATGCTGAAGCTGAAAACTTTACCAACAGAACACTGACATTTTTCCGCAAAGTTCGTATTATCCATAAAGTAACACTTACGATCGATTAAATAAATCTGTGAAATGTTCTTGCATTTCTTGCATTTGCTTTAACGCTTTAAATATTACTGGTACTAATAGGGACCACTTAGGATCGGACAGTTGAAACCTTATAAATGTGCTATTTAGAGTGTTTTTGACAATATTTCATTTTAAAAAAGTTACCAGAATGTTCCATGAAATATGTATATATTATATATATATTTTTTTTTATTTTATATATATATATATATATATATATATATATATATATATTATATACATATATTTTTTTTATTTTAATGTATTTTGCAAGAATGGTTACACAGAATTACAAATGCTTTCACGCAATGAAAGTACGTGCAAAGATAAATAGGAGCATTGCTCGATATGTGATAAGAGCGAAGAAAAAATTTTTAATGTAAAATCTTAAGCTGTCAGCGTAATATTTGCCTGATCCAAAAGTTCCCGTAGCTTGTACATACCGAAAGTGCGAATGCTCTAAGCAGAAAAATTTTGAAGAACATTGCTCTACCTTCGCGTCTGGAAGCATCTTCGCACCTTCATTTGGAAGCTTAAGGGGATGCTGGAGTCGATGACGAACTCGAGCAGTGTCGATAATGTAGAGACGATTGTCACTAACATAATCACGCTATCCTTTTCGTATTTCTTGTATATACAGAACTTACATGAATGTGTGTCGCTTTGTTTTGTATTCAACCTAACCATATATGTGTGGGAATCTTTCTGTAAACTTTTTTCGATATTTTTAAGCTTCCAAATGTATATGCAAAGGTACAGCAATGTTCTTCAAAATTTTTCTGTTTGGAGCATCCACACTTTCAATATATACAAGCTGCGGAAACTTTTGAATCAGGCAAATATTACGCTAACTGACAGCTTGAGATTTTACATTACAAATTTTTTGTTCGTTTTCGTCACATATCGAGCAATGCTCCTATTTATTTTTGCACGTACTTTCATTGCGTAAAAGCATTTGTAATTCTGTGTAACCAACACATAAACTTTGTAGAAAAATGTCAGTGTTCTGTCGGTAAAGTTTTTAGCTTCAGTATCCCCTTAAGAACATCGAAAAAGTTTGCAGAAAGATTTCTACACATATATAGTTCAGTTTTCCGTTAAATATGGTAAAACAAAGCAACGCACATTTATGAAAGTTCTGTATATAAAAAAAAATACGAAAAGGATAGCGTGATTATGTTAGTGACGATCATCTCTGTATTATCGACTCTGTATTGTTCGAGTTCGCCATCGACTCCAGCGTCCCTTAAGATGAGGAGAAACTGGATTGCGCTAAATGTCAAGATATACTCGGAAATGTAAATTTTCAGCTTCATATTCGTTATACATCCTCATACGCCGTTCCTCCGCAACGTTTTCCCAGCGCTTATCTGCAGCGCGTTAACGCCAGCATGCAAATTCCGCGGTATCTCGTGGATTCGATTATCCCGCTGTATCTTTGAGCGATAAGGAGTCGTGCCAGCGAAGCGTTGACGTCACCCACGCAACGACAAAGACAACTAGTGCATGTACGAATACTCTGACAACGGCGAAGCCGCTCTATCCCCGTCATCGTTTTTCCGTCCAATCGGTCGAATCGAGATGGCCGAATTTGCGCTACTTCCGTTCTTGTTTCTCTCGATGTCACGGCTTATTTATTAGCTCCACCACGAGAGAGAGAGAGAGACCCGCTCTCCGCGACTGTCCTCGAAAAATCTTACGTAATCTGCGTCAGTCTCTCTCTATTATCTCTACTTCCAACTCTTTTTTTATCTTTCTCTCCTCGTCTGCTCGTCGCTCACATAGACGCGATATTCTCGACTCCAAAACATCGCGATATTTTTAGAACACATGGATCGCGCCAGTCTACTTCGTAAATAAACGTTCATTATGTTTCTGTAGCGGGAGAGAGAGATATGACTTTTTTTATATAATTGAACTTTCACATTTCTACTGATGTCTCGCCAGTATTTAATTTAATTTCCATCTTCCACGCTTTCTTGTCTATTAACCTTTCGACCGCAAAACTCGCTGCACGAAATGTCATGTCCAATGCGGGACAATCGTACGGGACACAATGGATCCGTCGTTCGAATATTCCGCCCCGCGATCAATGCTCGTGATCCTTCACTTTTGACCGGTGGGAGAGTTCGAATAACAAGCCACACATTGTGTAACGTAATCGTTTCCCTCCTCGGCTCTGACCGTGATCGCCTCTCACGGCGTATCGCCGTAATTTCAGCAAATCGAATCGCAGTCCGCCAACTCGCGCGCCGACAACGGCGATTCTATTTTCATCCGGACGTTAACAATCGGCTTTACTACTGCCCCGACGGCGCGATTGCGAGACGTCCCCCGGGATCTGACGAGCCGACCGCGATTAAAGAAGAGTCATCGGATATCACGCTCTCGCCAGGTTCTTTGTATGCATATCGTGCATCACCACTGCCGTTCGCCACCGCGGCGATGCCGTTGTCCCGCACTCTTCAGCATGCGTCATGCACAGCCATAGATATAATATGCGTAGACTCCACATACAGAAAAGTGAAGCCAACATGTACATCAGCTACCTCTGTTCTCTGTTTTTCCTGCACAGACAAAGTGTGCAATAAGACTTAAAGGGACTGGAGGATCAGATTGCCTGAAAATCGTGCTTATTCTTTCACAATTTTTTTATGACAAACTGAATGCAAAAGTGTTATTTTGACGTGTATTTATACAACATATAAAGAGAAGGAAAATGTAATTTTGATGATCACATACTCGATATAAGTGTATGGTACATGTACATTAAAATATATTTCGTTTTTCTTTTCAAGGTTGTCATTCTGCAGTAATATCTTGACTTTCGGTGGTTCATTTAAGTTGAATTTTAAGTAGAAAATTTCCGTAAGCTTGTCGTTATCGTGTGAACCACTGACAAACTCGTGAAAATATTTGATTTTGAAATATTAATTTTTTTACTAAAAACTGAAAATTTAATAATATTTCATTAAGATACTTGCAATTTTGTTAACTTTTACTCAATTTCTATTATAGTGGTTCACACGATAACGACAAGTTTACCGAAATTTTACCTTAAATTTTACCTAAAATTTACTTAAAATTCAGCTTAAATAAACCGCCGAAATTCAAGATATTACTGCAAAATGACGATCTTGAAAAGAAAAACGAAATATATTTTAACTATATATTTTAAGGGCATGTACCCTTATATTGAGTATTTGATCAAAATTATATTTTTCTTTTCTTTATATGTTGTATAAATACATGTCAAAACAATATTTTCGCATATTCATTCAGTTTATCATAAAAAATTGTGAAAAAAGCCCAAACGCTCATTAACGTCCAAATGTGTTGAAATTTTACGTTGATTTGAGCCATTTATTTTACTACGGAAATGAGATTATTATTTATAAAGAGTACCATTTCTATCAATTTCGATGTCGCTCTATCGAATAGCATTGAGAAAATTAAAAAAAAATCGCAATTTATGCAAAATGTTTGCAAAATAAAATAAAAAAGCGCATGCTTTTAAAGCTAATTTTTTTTTCTTCTGCTATTTTCTTCATGAAAATGTGTTAATATCTCGGGAAAGTATCTAAAACGTGTTCCCGAGACTAACTTAAAAAATATGCCATGGATATTTTTTTCAACAAACATGGCGGTACCAAAATGGCGATCGATTTGAAGCGTTTAATTCGAATTTTTGCTTATATTTGGTTATCAAAATTGTTTCAGAGTCAATAGTACTACAATACATTACATAGTAACACGTTTTATGGTGATACTAACACGTTTTTATGGAGAAAATAGCGGAAGAAGAAAAAATTAGCCCTAAAAACATGCGGGTTTTTATTTTATTTTGCAAAAATTTTGCATAAATTACGATTTTTTTAAATTTTCTCAACGCTATTCGATAGAGCGACATCGAAATTGGTAGGAATGGTACTCTTTATAAACAACAGACCTCATTTCCGTAGTAAAATAAATGGCTAAAATCAACGTAAAATTTAAGCACATTCCCATATAGCACAAATGTTCAACAGATATCCTAAGAACGTTCTAAAAATATTCGAATATTCTACATTCTTAGGATATCTATTGAACATTTGTGCTGTATGGGTTTGGGCGTTAATGGGTTAAGTAAGACTTTTGCTTGCCAGTCGGGATGCTGTTGCGCTCTATAATATTATAGGAACGAGAAGTGGATGCACGCGCAACAAAAAGGTGACAAAATAGAAAACTGTAGCCCCTCTATTCTCGCTCTCATTCTAGATGTTGGCTTCACTCAATTAGACGACAGAACGAAGGGCGTTCGGACTCCATATATATTATGTCCATATGTTCAGCGCCGAGAGAGATTGCTGCTCTTCTCTGCTGCTCTTCGCGCGCGCCCG